ATTGCATTGAAGATGTGTATAAGAGACAGGTATTTTTGAATACTATGCGTCTCTATACATAATTTAAATCACTTTTCCTGTTAAGTTTGTGTACTTACATACATTAAAATACGATTTTTCAAGTGTACGAATATTTATTTCCCCCCACTGTATATTCACTACTAATTAAATGGTTCACCTTCTCTCTACTACTAATAAAATTTAGATTATTACTTTAGATTAGGTGCATCCAAAAAAAGTTTTTTTTTTAATTATATGGTTTTTGGGGTGTAGATTAGGAACCTGAAATCCGTTTTTGGCGGTACCAATTTTTTTATATATTTTCTATAGAAAACGACAATGGGGGACCCGTGGGGAACCGGGGGTTTTAGGGGTAGGGGGGACACGCCTGAGGTTCTAATTTGTCAAAAAAAAATCGGTGAAAAATTGGAAAAAATCAGAAAATTTTTTTGACTGAAAATGATCTATATCGATCTGGGAATGACTGTAAACCTATGTAAACGCCAAAAATCGCACTAGTTTAGGTTAGGATGTAGGCTGCTATTCCGCACCACCCAGGAGGTTGCAGCTTAGGCGCGTTAAGGCTTTAATTTATATACCACGGGCCTTTCCCCAATAGGCCTATGACCGTGGTTAGCTTTGCGAGAGTTAGTTTACTTACCTTGACCAATACATGAACTTCGCGTCAGTCAGTTGTTACTTTTATTCGTCTTCAGATTCAGGTGCGATTTTTGCCCGATTTTTTTTGACGAATTAGAGCCTTGGGCGTGTCCCCCCCCCCTAAAACCCCCGGTTCCCCACGGGTCCCCCATTGTCGTTTTCTATAGAAAATACATAAAAAATCGGGGAAAAAATCGGTTTTCCGATGCCAACCGCCAAAAATAGATTTCAGATTCATTATATACACCCCAAAAAAACATAATTAAAAGAACACCCTTTTTTTTGGATACACTTAATCTAAAGTAATACCAAATTAAGATTTGATTCACTCGGTATTTGAAGACTTTCACCTCCTTTGTAATGCTTTGATTTACGGTCAAAATAGATCGATAGCTAAAGCGCTTGTAGACATTTGGCCATTAAACTAAACTTGTCTTCATTTAGTGGCAGAAACGGTAGTTTCTATATATTTCGCGCTATGATGCATTGCGTTGAGATTTTTTCATAGATTTTTTGCGCTATGATGCATTGCGTTGAGATTTTTTAAAGAACTATTTGATTCAAGCGAATTTGTTTGTTGAAAAAATGTGAAAATCTAACTTATTGATAACTTTTTGTTTTCCGGTTTGTCGGATGAGACTGTACAGCTGCAGCACAATCTGCAAATGGTGGAATCGGTTGTGATGCGGAAGCCATTGACTGCTGTAGTTCCTGGGGAGTGGGGGATATACTCTTTGAACTTTTAGCAGCTTCATTGTTGAAAAATTACTCGGCGACGCATCCTGAAGACTTCTGGCGGCGACGGCGAGAACTATCGAGTAATGCCGGCAACGTTGTTGGCTGGAAACTCATATCTTGGCGACGTTGCTTGCACTCTCTGCACCCTGGCTCTTGAGGGTGACCAAACTTGGTTCCTGGAATGTCAAATGCCACCTTCCAGTAAATCAGACTGTATCAGTTGGGGTTATTGGGCCGTTAGGGGAAGATGTTTCTGATGAGGAACTGACATCTGCTCTGAGAGATTAAGGTTACAAGGACGCAACAGCCGAGCGAATACTAAAGGGTAAAGGAAACCTGAAAACTTCCAAGTTCAAAATTAAAATTCCTTCAGGCACTTTGCCAGATCATCTGTATGTTGGCTACCAGCGATTTAAAGTTGACCCCTTTGTGGTCGACCCATGGCAGTGTTATAGATGCCAATACTTTGGGCACAGTGCCATTAGCTGCAAGGGTCCCCCACTCTGTGTTGCATGCGGTGGGGCCCATAGTGTGAAGGACTGTACTAATACAGGAAGACCACACTGCTGCAATTGTGGAGGTCCACATACTGCAAATTATGGGGTTGTCCTTGTATGAAACAAGCAAAACAAGTTGAAAAGGTTTGCTCACACCTTAAGCTCTCGTACCGAGATGCCCTGAAATCAGTAAAGGCTACTGCCTCAGGCCCACAAAACCCTGTTCAGAGACCAGCTCCCTCAATGGCTTGCATAGTCCCTCCTGCCCCTGGCAACCCTTCACCTAAACCCAAACCTGCAGAGACCAAACTATGTCCCACTACCACAACTGTTGGCACACAGACAACAGACATGCAAACAAAACCAACCTTGCAGAACATGCCAGTAGACCAGTTCATTGAATTGCTTATAAAACTCTTGTCTCTATGTAAGCCTAATGAAAACCCTGAATTTCTGAATGTGGCCACAAGACTCATTAAAGATACTTTCCATATTGAACAACCCTCAAGCATACAGGTTGAACACTGCCCTTCTCAGAGCTCTAGCACAGAACCATACTGTGGCCTAGATGAGATTCCTTTGCCAGAACTCTCACAAATCATTGCCAATGATGAGATGTCTGAAATGGTTAAACCATCACCAGTACTTCTGTCTCTTATACACATCTAGATGTGTATAAGAGACAGTGAGTGCACCGTGCAGGTGATGACAAACTTGCTAGACCTGTGAGTGCACTGTGCAGGTGATGACAAACTTGCTAGGCCTGTGAGTGCACTGTGCGTGCAATGACAAACTTGCTAGACCTGTGAGTGCACCGTGCAGGTGATGACAAACTTGCTAACCTGTGAGTGCACTGTGTGTGCAATGGCAAACTTGCTAACCTGTGAGTGCACTGTGTGTGCAATGGCAAACTACGTGGAAGCAAGCAGATAAATCTAGATGTTACTTACACACTTAGACCTCCAATTGCAATGAGAGTACTCTTTTCCTCTGATATAACTGTAGGTAATTGGTGTGGCAATGACCACAATTTTACCGAAGTGGTTTTCAAAGTCTTAGCTATTCTGTGCCGAAAAAAATATATCGGTTGTCGTTTAAGAGCCTGTTATGGCTGGAAATATATTTTAAACTTACTCCAAAAAGTGGAGCTCTCTATTGTAAAGTATTTATAAAAATCGAAGCGGCAGCGCTTCCTTTGGTTTAATAAAAGCAAAATTTGTCGTCCAGAACTGTCGTTCGGTTGGGAGAACACAACCTGGTGAAAAATCCAGACTGCAGTTCGTCGTTTTGCGCTCCGGAACCCTTGGACTTCGGCATCTCGTCAGTCATCCGGCATCCTTCCTTCAACACGCGCGGTGCCCTCAGTGATGACGTAGCAGTCCTCAAACTGGACAAAACTGTTGATTTTTCTTCGAGTGAGATTTTTATCGATAATAATCTCACTTTTCAGAACGTTGAAATTTAAAAATTAATGCAGGACATTACATGAAATATATGCAGAACTAGCGCTAATGTCATATGGAACTCACGTAATAGCAAATTGAATTTTAGGAACATACTTTCCAAATAAAACAATTTTTCTGTACTGTGCGTAGAATGCTGTTAAACGCATTTGTCCTGAATCAAAATATATTTTTTACAGTTTCCATCCAACCCGTATGCTTGCCAAGTCCCGGCTTGTCAGCCGAGGCCATCATTCAGGGCAGACAGGTGATTGTCATCGGATTTGGTGACACAGAGGCCGGCGTGAGAAGCCACCAGCTTCTGGAGGTTCTGCTACCTTATGTACCAATGCAGCAGTGCCGCATGGTAGCCAACTATAGCAGCCTTGCTGCCAACGGCCAGGTATGTTTGGTTCCAAGCGTTTCTGATTCCTAAAGAGGAATTTACGGCCGTTTTCTTTGATACTAATGATAATTTTAGTACCTGGTCATTGGTTCGTTCAATAAATGTTACGTCCATGTGACCATGTAGTTTATTTGTCGAAAAATTTTGTAACTGTTTCGAAACTGGATTTATTACATGCAGTTCTTGTAAATAAAGAGACTGACTGAAGCCAAATTTTATAGGTTCTTGCCATTTAAGTATAACGGGGATAGATCATTTCGTAGTCAAATCAAGTATGCTTGGAAATCATCGTTATCGGATCTTCGTTTAAACCTAACGACCTCCAGCCGAGGACGTTTCCACTTTGTTTCATGTAACTCCCCAGAAATTGTATTTTGTTTAGAAAGTGATCCCTATGATTTGTATTCATTATTTCCTAAATATGAATTTCAAAAAAATTTGAAATATTTCTTTGGAGGAGACATTCAACGTGTTTTCCACAGGTGTGTCTGGGCGGGAACTTCCAAATGGACTCGTGCTTCAAGGACTCAGGAGGGCCCGCCATGGTCACAACTACCAATACCAGCTCTCAGTATCTTCAGGTAAAGATAACTTCAAAATTTAATTATCATAACGGTCATCAACTGTTATAACATATAGCACATTATTACTTAATAACGTCCAAAATAGCAATGAAAAAGTCAAGTTCATATCTATTCAACACCGCATTTTAGGGAACACTTAGCACATTAGCGTTGAAATTACAATATCGTATCGCATTTAGAGAGAATGTTTGTGTAAAAAATTCACAATATTTTGTTGTCTTCTCTTTTTTTGCCGTCTATTGGCTATATTTTTAATTTTTCATTATATTGTGAAGCTATCACAATTTACACAATCTTTCCCCTTGTGAACAGGTGGGCATTGTTTCGTTCGGCACGCAGTCCTGTGGTGTGGAGAACGTGCCTGCCATATACACCGACGTGGCTTACTACCGCAACTGGATTGTCAGTCAACTATCTGCCTGATTTTAGTCGCTTCTCTCGAATTGGACATTTCTTGGCATTTAAGAAAATTTTCTATGTTTCTCGTAATTTTGTGTGAGATTTAACGAGAAAAATTGTCGCAATAACTAGGAATTGGGAACGTTATTAGTTACCGCAAAAATCGTGCAGAGTGCAGGCTTATATAAATTTTATAACTGCCGAGCTATCTATATTGTTAACAGAACTGAAATAAGCAATTTTACATTTCAATTCCCGAAATAAGTTTGAAGTGGATGAAAAAAAACTGTTATATTTATAGGCAATTTTTATCATTCGTTCATCGCCTACTTACATGATTTTATTATATTGTTAACTTTATCTGAAAGGTCAATCTAAAATGTATTTCTTAAAAGAATATAGTAAATCAATGCTGTATTTGAGTTTTATTTATTCCTCTTTTTCAAATATATCAATTAATTTCGCATTATTAACCACTGCCTCACGTTATCTCCGTGCAAACTTAAAACAATCATTGATGCATGCAGAAGTTTATTATCTGCATGAACTCTCATCAATTCCCTGGCGCTATTTCTCGTTTAGTGAGCAAAATGCACAAAGGCCTATTTCTTCAATGCTGACACTTCTATTCTATTCTTAGTGAAATTATCAATGTAAATGAATTCATTATTTCCGCTCATACAGAATGTGTGAGTCGTGGCCAACGTTAGATCTGTCTACGGACTACGGAGGGTGGGGAGAAAGTCAGTTGCGTTCACGGCAAAAGCACGTGTGTGGATTGCGATCTCTAAAGTAAACGGTAAATTTGTGATTTGAAGACTCTTATTTTCTAAAAGTAATTACCATCATATTTGTTTCCTCATTAACCCGACTGGCTTTCTCCCTCAGAGGTTTGCCGCCGCCGGTCCGCATTGTGTGTTTTTTTTTTCCTTTTCCCATTCTTTTTTCTGCCTAAAAAAAAAATTAATTTTGAGTTATTATTATTTTTTCTTGTTTAACTTTTGTTTGGTTTTCTGATATTTTTGTTCATTTTGACTTTTGTTTCGTCTCTTCCCTATGGAAGTTTCTAGCTGCCTTACGGGGTCAGGTTTTGGCCCGCCTATGGTGATTGGAGCAGCAGAGGCTTGTGTTGACTGTTGAGGAAGCATCTTCTGATGGTGGTGGGGTGGTGGAGGAATCAGACTGTGAGAGTGAGAGCCTCATTGAAGCAACTCCTTTGGATTCTGTGCCTGTTCAGAATCAGCTTGGCCGGAAACGAAGAGAGAGGGAGACAAATGGCTCAAGTGAGAGCATTGTTTCAAAGGCTAAGCGCCCAACTGCGCTTAGCAATAGAGTGACGATAAAAAGTGTTCCTAACCCTATCAATCTGCAAAATTTGAAGTTCCCAACTAATGCCACTCTGCAGAGTTCAGGCAGGGGATTCACCATCTTGATAAAACCACAGGGTCCTAATGCCATATCTTTTCTGAAAGACCCAATTGGCTTGGCTCAAGGAATTAAAAATCCATTATTTGGAGCAGTGAAGGACTTGGAAGTGCGCCCAAATCCTCGCCGCCAGTTGATTGCTCTGCAGTCTCCTTCATTCACTGATGAAAACATTGCTAATTATCTTGATGTGTCAATGATTGGAAAGTGGGCTGTTTGTTGTTACCAGTCGGGCTCTGATGTGCGTGTGCATGGGGTTATTGGGCCAGTTGATCCAAATGTTGATGTAAGAGATGTGGTGGAACTTGCAAGCGCTGGAGATTTTGTCATTTCTGACATTGTTTGGTTAACCAGATTCCGTAATGGAAATCGTGAGCCATCAGCCACTCTTAAAGTTACCTTTCATTAGGCTTTCAAGGTCAAGCATTACCAAAAAAGTTAAAAATTGGATATGTCTCTTACTCAGTGAGACCTTTTGTAGCCCCTCCTATGAGGTGTTACAGATGCCAGAGATTGGGACATCTTGCTGAAGGATGTAACTCTCCCAGAAGGTGTTTGCTCTGTGCTGGGCCTCATGAACACTCAGTGT